CAAATTTAAGGCCAGCCTGGGCAACCTGAGACAGACAGACAGACAGACAGACAGACAGACAGACACACACACACACACACACACCACACGCACGCACGCACACATGCACACACGCACGCACGCACATATGATGTAAGATCTATTAAGAGGCTCTTTGATCAGTTGGGGATGTATGTGTGCTGAGTGCTGGAAGGGGATTATGGGACGCCAATCTCTTTAGCTTCCTGTTGAAATGTGATCGTATCACTCCCACTACTGTGGCCACTGGAATGTCATCTGCTAAGAGATCCTCACCAGAGCTGAGCCAATGTCAGCACCCTGTCCTTGACTCTCCAGAACTGTGAGCTAAATAAACCTGCTTTCTTCCTAAAGCTAGCATGACTCAGGTGTTTCATTACAGTAACAGAAAGTACACTTAGTGTCTGTGTGACTCTCTTGCATACACACTTCTTTAAACAAACAAAAATCAAAGGTTCTTGGTCTAGGTGCCCCCTCTCATGCTATCACTTCAGAAATGAAGAAAAGGGAGGAGGAAAGAAAAGGCAAGATGAGAAACTGAGGCACAGAACAGCTTGGTGATTGTGGATCTGGATTATTCTGGATATCCAAGAAATCTACTGTGGCAGGCTTTGGTCTGGCATGTCTTTTTCCACCTCTGGTAGCCTAGAAGTTTCTCCATATTTCTTCAGAGATATGATGTGGGCAAAGTGGGAGTCCTTGAGAACCCCAGGTTCTTTGAGACAAACTGTTATTGGGTGCGACCAATGCAAAATGGTGAAATTTTCTGAAAAAATTATCAAGCATCCCTGTTAAGAATCATTTGGCGTGAAACAGTAGCAGGTGCCAGGATGAAGGAATCCTGACTTGGACTTCACTGTTAATCTACTAATAGGCCATCAGCAAACCTCACACACCAAGGATAATGTCATCATCTTCAAATCAAGATATTTGGTGAGCACACTCTGCCCACAGGTGGGGGTGGGGTAGGCGATGACTAAGACACAGTCCTCTAAAGGAACGTAGGTCACCCTCGTGGGTGCTTAAATATCAATCAAAATGTTGGTACCTGAAAGCATTAATAAACATCTTAAAATCCTCAGCTGAGAAAACAGAAGAGGGGGGTCCTAGGACAGCATGTGACAATTTTTTTTTTTTTTTTTAGTGCCTGTTAAAAATCCAAAGCTGTGCCCATTTATGGCCAGGAAAGGCTGGGAGTTGGAAGGGAAGAGAAAGCTTCTGGAATGGGCACTGAAGGGCTGCTGTATGCTTCTGGGTGGGGTGGTTGCAGGGATAATAGGGCCCAGGCTGTGGATGGATGCTCCTTACCCTTAATTGGAGAAGAATGGGTGAAAGATGGGGGGATAGTCCCTACTCAAAGCCAGCAACCAGACCCCTGAGAATCACTCCTAACATCATGTGCCTCCATTTATACTTTCTACAGACCTGGGCAGACCATAGTGGAGAGTCTCTACAGAAGGTGGGCTCCTCGAAAGTGCCACTCCTCACACTCAGGCTGACAGGAGGAGGAGCAGCCTGCTCTCTGCCCACAGAGGCACCTCCTCCTCTCAAGCCTACAGAAGGCCTTCTACCACCTATCCCAAGGGTGGACAAGTGCTCCCTTGCCATGGGTTTTTATAGCAGCTGCTTTTGTCATTTGATCCACAGTCTCTACTTCCTGGTGAGCCCTAAGTTCTGTGAGGGCAAGGATGCATTCCAAGATATGATTCAGTAACTAGAGGATGTGGGGGAAGAGAGGGAGGTGTGAGAGAACAAGGGACTGTACAGCCCAAGGACAGCTGCTTGCGGGGGTCACTGTGCCCAGTTCTCTGGAGAATCTCTTCAGCATGTGTTCCAGGTGGATGCCAGGGGTGGGCAGAGAGATGGTCAGACGGAAAAGCTGGCCTGCTGGTCTTGCTTTGTGTCCATCTGTTCTTCCTTCCCTCCCTTCCTACCACACATAGCAAGGTGTTTCTGGTGAGGCCTGGATCCCCTCAAAGACCCTGAGAACTTGGGAAGAAGATCTGAATCCTGCAGGCCACTCTGTCCTTAGGCACCTGCCTATGATCCCACCTCATGTCAGGCTCGCACTGTCATCGAGACCCTTCCACCAGCCAGGTAACACCAGTTCTGCCTGCTGTTACACTCTTTTCCAGGCCGAAGGTGTTTTCTGAAGAGTGCAGTGCTCAAGGGCTTCCCATTTGAACCAGCATTTTGGTGTCTTTGAAGGCCTGATGCCTTTGAAGATTTTCTGACCCACGATATCTTTGTCCTTACCTGCTCCAGGTCTGACACCCCTCTTTGGAATCCATCTGTCTTTGCTCACTGGCCTAGAGGGATGCCACCATAATGCCAAATATAGAGATCAAGAAAAGGCTGTGCCCTTCCAGCCCTTTCCAGTGCCCACACCCCCCCCCCAGCAGACTCAGATCATACAAGCAAGCCTATACTATTCCAGAAACCTCAACAGGGTTCATGTAGCTCAAGTGCCCCAGTACAGAAGGTGAGGGATGGATCTCCAAGGATCGCCAAGATCACATAGGAAGGGAGAGCCAGGGAAGGAGCAAGGATCAGAGCTCAGGAGGCTCCCTCCTTAGTACAGGCTGCAGAGGATGCTGGCACACAGGACCAGTAGATACAAAACTGCATGGCAAGATGAAAAGAGCTGTAACAGTGGCAATCCATCCCACAAGGCTTGGGGGCACATATGTCCTCTGAAATTTACAAGACCGCCCCCCAAGTTCTGTAAACCTAAATAAAGAACCCACCAAAGATACAATCAGGTAGAAGAAGCTATTCAGGGGCTAAGAGATGGCTGCCAGAAAGGGATCAGGGTGACCAACAGTCACTCTCACTGATGGGTCACGTTCCAAGGCCTCACGAACCCTGCTTCTAACCAACTAGTCCTACATTCCCATCACATCACCCAATCCAGCCATCCTTGAGCCCTCGCTCCTCTAAGAGGCTCCAGGCTCTTGGATTAACCCCACTCAAGGTAATCTTAATTCCCAATGACTTCTGCCTCCCAAAGTGTTCACAACTCACAGTGAGTCTCTGGGCAAGCACTCCCCATTCCCTGGAGTTCCCTTCCCTTCTGAGCATGGTGGGGGGGAAGGTAGACTTTCATTTCTGTGATTTTTTAGGAGTGGGGTCTTCTACCAGTCATCACAGTTTCTGAGAGAGCCCAGAGCTTTTACTCAAACTCACCACATATGGTTCTTTATGGAAGTGTGTTCAGACTTGGAATAAACAAATATTCTTTGAGTCCCTACCACAGTCCAGACACCTTGGAAACACAAGAGCTTTTTTCAAGCCACCATTGTTTTTTTCAGAGGCAGAAACTGAGTCTCCAAAAGGCCTCAAATTTGGTTTAAGACAACACAGGTAAGACTTCAACCCCAAGGAACCTGCGGGATGCCTGCAGTTTCCCTCCCAGGGCTGAGGTACCCCCAAATCTCTTCCAGACATAGAGGGGAAAAGTCAGCTGTGACCCTGGAATCCACAAAGAACAGGAAATCAGATCCAGGAGGAAGAGCTGATTTGAAGTCCCAAACCGGTTTCTCCAGGCAGGGGACCACTTCTTCCCCCTGCTCCCACCCTCTATCTCAGGTACTGAGCAGCAGCAGACAGGAGGTGGCCATGTGACCTCGACAGCCCACATGCACACGTCACAGCAGCGCTGCTCCGGAGCCCACCAGGTCCTCCCACAGCTTTCCTTCTCTTGGCCTCTAAACCTGCTAACAAGGCTGGTTTATAGAACTGGAGCTGAGGATCCCGACCCCTAGGGATGCCTTTCTCTTCCAGCAGAGCCCAGCTCGGCTCGGTGAACCTCCCTCCACCCTCCCCCTCTCCTCCCCACCCCGGGTGCAGGTCCCTGGAGCGAGGCTCTGGGAGGCACTCCTTCCTACAGGTGTCAGAGGGGTCGCTGCTCCTCAATCTGGTCTTCCCACCTTGGACCAACATGGGTTTCAGGGATGCCTTAGTGGGGGACAGACTCCCTGGTAGCAGCAAAGCTCCCAGTCTCCCCCTCCTCCGGCTCCGGCCGGCTGCCACGGTGACCTCCCCTCCCCCAAGAAGGGCGGTGAGCAGGGAGATGGGGGTGGAAGAATCCTCCCGCGCCGCTGTTGCTTTCGGGGCGGGGGCAGGGAAGCCAGGCAGGGCGTGTCACCTAGGCCTTTCTCTGCCCAGTGGCAGGCTTCTTGACTTGGGATACCTCTTCTGTACCATCCCCCAAGTCACCTGGTATTGGGAGTCTCACTGTCTTGATCCACACCCCTAAGCCCCAAGAAGGCTAATGCGATAGGGAAGGGCAAAGAGTACAGAACCTTCTGCCCAGTCGGACGTGCGCCAGGGGAGGTGGGCGCCCTGTTCACCTACGACTTGTACCCACACTTGGAAAAGGGACAGGTGTTATTCACCCTCCTCACCCCCCGCCCCCCGCAGCTGTATGCTCCACGGCTTGGACGTGCCCTTTCCTGCGGTTGCAGGCAGGGTCCGCAGGGAACCCTTCCAGCGCAGCAGTGTTGGGGCGGGGGAATCTGCCCCCAGCCCCACCTCGTTCTCCCCAGAGGCTCCTGACCCCTCGCCCGAGCGTGTCCTCACTCAGACACCTGCGCGGCGGTCCGCAGTCGGTGCCGCAGTGCGAGCTGGCCAGCGAGCCGGCGAGCCCGGAGCCTCCACGCTCCGGCCCTCGGCGCCCAGCCAGCCGCCGCCCTCCAGCCTCCCCGCCGTGCCGCACCTGCACCGGGGTCCCCTACCCAGATACCATCCTCGTCCTCCTCCCCTGACCCCAGAGCCTCCTCCATCCTTTCCCCCGGCCCCTCCCCAGCCGGGCTCCGCCCGAGCCGGCCCGGATCTCTTCGTCAGCATCCCTCTCCTCCTCCATCAGGCGAGGAATGGCCTCTGGCGAGCCGGGGCTGGGAGGGTCCCCAGCTGGGTGGCTGAATGGGCGACGGTGGGTGGGGAACTCGGCGCCAAGCCGAGAGAATGAGCTGGGTACTTACCGCTCTGCTCCCCCAGGAACACCAACTTGAATTTTCTCAGTGGGTTCCCAAAATCTCCCCCTGCGGACATGGTGCTGGCAGCTGGGGCCGGGAGAGGAGGAGGAGGAGGAGGAGGAGGAAGAAGCGAAGGAGCAGGGAGGGGAGAGGAGGAGGGCGAGGGGAGGCGGCGGGCGGTGCGGGAGCCGGAGGGGGAAGGGCTGGCTGCGCGTCCCTGACTCCCCAGCTGCGGCCCGGCCCCGGCCTGCGGCTGCGTGTCCGGCGGCGGCGGCGGCGGAGGAGGAGAAGGAGAGGGAGGAGGAGGAAGAGCGGTCGGAGGAGGAGACAGCGCGGGATGCGGGGTGCAGGATGCAGGATGCGGAGGGTGGCGCTGGCTGCACGAGCGTCGGGTGCGCTTTGGATGCCCGAGGCGCTGGTGGAGCGGGGCGCGCGGACGGCGCGGGGCGAAGGAGCGCTCTCTCTCAAGCCGCGCCAGTCGGCCCCCTCCCGCCTGCCTCCTCTGCCGGCGCCTGCGCTCTGCGCGCTCCCCAGCCTCTGATGTCATGCAGGGCCCACCGGCTTGGGGGGCGTGCGCCAGCCCACCCGGAGCCAGCACCCAGCCCAGGCGAGAGCCACCTCGCCCTGTGCCTCCCCCCGGGGCCAGCACCCACCCCCCGCGAGAGCGACCCCGCCCTGTGCCTCCCAGAAAACACACACACACACACACACACACACACACACACACACACACACACACATATTCGGAGCGTCTCCAAGCTTCCCTGCTACTTCTGGCTCTCCTCCCACCCACCTAGAAAGAAAGAAAGAAAAAAAACATTAAATGATCAAAGAAACATTTACTTTGGTCCTTCACACTTAGATGAGGTCCTTTCCTTTACCTCAGACCCATATGTGCAGAGCAGTGATTAAATAGGGCGAGAAGGAAAGGAAGAGCCAGGGTTAGTGGCCGGTGAAAAGATGTACCTGGCTCAGACGTGGGGTGGGGCCCCACTGTTGCTCCATGTGGCCTCTAGCCTGCCTTTCCCTCCGGGCCTTGATTTCCCATGCAGAATCTGCAGTTACCTGGCGAGCTCCAGAAAAGACGCCAGCGCACGGCGTCTAGCTCAAACCCACTTGTTCTGGGCTAAATTCTAACCTTCTCCATGGGAGAGAAACCCTAGTGAAAGCCAGCGCAGCTCTCCCCAGAGGAGTGCTTTGCCTCTGTTGACCCTGAGGCCACCAGTCTAACAACACTCTTCATCCAGGCAGTTAGGTTTATTTAGACAATGAGCTCCAAGTAGACACAAGGTCTCCTGTGCTTGTCGTACACACAGTTGAACGAGAGAAAAGAGCAGAGCCAGGTTAGAAACACTCCCAGGACCGCCCAGTACTAACACATCCGGTTGATGGAGGCTTTGCAACACTGCCTCTTACTCTCCTGCCACCCCATGATCTTGACCTTCTGTGGGCTCTTCGGGGAGTCTTTGAGATTACTTGGAACACTGTGTGTTACACAGAGAGCCAGGAGTGAAATGCACCCCACACCTGCAGGTTTCCAGGGTCTCTCTCCCATTGCATGTTAAAACTCCACAGTAAGCTCTATGGAAGCAGCAGCTGAGTCCCCACCACCAGATCCCAAGAACCTCACTTAGTGCTTAGGAAAAGTTGTTGAATGTTTCAGTTATTACCTAGAACCCAAATCCGAGCAACTGTTCCATTCTCATGGTCTCACTGGTTTGGAGTCCTAGGTTGGAAATCATGCCCCAGGGATATCAACACCCTGTGCTTGGCATCGGCCTCAGATTAACTCTTCTGTGCCCTACCCCACCTCTCCTCTGGGTTTGCTGCTGTCTGAGGATCACCTAGCATAGGCTAAAGAAGTTCTTACAGGTGTATCTGACCCAAAACCCATGGACCACACGCTTCACAGAATAGCCATGAATGCAGCCCAGCACAACATTGTAAACTTAAAACATTATGAGGTTTTTTTGCCATTTATTTATACTTTATGTGTATGAGTGTTTCACCTGCATGTATGTAAGTACACTACATGTGTGCAATGCCTGCAGAGGCCAGGAGACGGTATTAGATCCCCTGGAACTGGAGTTATAGGTGGTTGTTTGCTGTTTTGTAAGTGCTGGGAACTCGAAGAGCAGCCAGTGCTCCCAATTGCTGAGCCATCTCTCCAGCCCCCATTTTCTTTTTCCAGTTAGAAAGTGGCTGGTTACTCGCATAATGTTTATGACACTACTGCTCCAGCAGGCATATCTTGGCAGGCCAGCTTTTATTGTACTTCACAGGGTTCACAGCTGGGTAAGGCTGATGATTGTATTTTCCTTCCAGAAGCGTGCATGCCACCTTGAAAGCTAGTCAACAGAGATGAGGCTTTTGAGTCAGTATCAGCTTAATTTTTCCTTGTTTGTTTTACAGCTCGTGTATGTGGTGTCTTCAGCAATATTGTTTTACTGTGAAGTTCTGGTGGATAAATAAGAGCAGGGACAATGGCTAGTAGTGTTTGAGGGTGAACTGTAAGAATCTTGACTGGAAGAATCCTGAAAGTCATCCTGGCCCATGATCAGCCCAGTTGAAACTTGCAAACCTATGAGCGAACTTAGAGGTGTAGAGGTACCCAGAGGGCCTGCACCCCGTCCTTCCCTCCCAAATGGTCATATCACCTGTGTGAGGGACCACATATTCAGAGAAAAGGTACAGAGCCAAATGATCAGAGAAAGTTCAAGGCTGGTCTAGGCTCACCCAGAAGATGGTGGGTGCTTCTTCTGTCACATCTTAGTTGCTTTCTCTTGTCACTATAATGTCCTGAAACCAGCATGAAAGGGTATGGGGAGAGAGCACCAGATCCTAGGAGGAATGGGATAGAGCCTCTTTGGTACCTTAACTAGTAGTTCTACTGGCCTTTTACTCACAGAGGCAGGGAGGGTTGTGGCTTAGGAGTGGTTTCTTCCTTACAAGGATGTCCAACCTTTTGAATTGAATTGGTTGACATACTGAGATTCAACATTGCCATCTACAGAACCACAAAATCAAATTACCAAAAAAAAAAGGCAAATATGTGATTATACTGGAGGTTGTGAACTTCAATTTGATAATGTTTTGATGTACCAATTGCTTTTCTCTACCCAGTGTTTACATTTCTTTGAAACCTAAAGTAAGTTTTTGGTAGACCATTCTCTGAACTACATTAAGTAAGGGAGATTATTAATGGTTTTGTGTTTTCTATAAGGCTTATCTGGGAACTTATAAAGCACAGTGTGAAATGGGTAATATTAATTATATTATCTTATGTGTTTAATTTGGATTCCACGTTCTTTTATAAGATGATGCTGCACAGTACTCCTCTGAGCCAAATAAATTCCACCTTCATGACTTCAGCTTTGTCTACTGGCTAAAGAGCATCACAATTGGGTTTGTTGACAGTTGTGTTCCTTCATTAAAGGAGGGATAAGCAGGGTCATTGGACCCTCTCCTGAGTATTCAGCCATTCTTCTCAGACAGCTGTACGTAATTCTGCCCTAACTGCAAATAATCTCCCGGGGAAGAATCTGGGGAAGGCTAAGAAGGCTTGATCCATCAGTGTACATACCCTCAGGTCACTCATACACCTCAGCAACCCCTCAGTCATCTCTCTATGTAAGCTCAATAAATTAATTGATTTCCCAGGAAAACTTTAATGTAATCAAACATTGTTTTGACACTAGAACCTTAGAATGGGGTAAGCCTTGCTTAGTATCCCCCCGGAAGAGAATTCTAGCAACAGATGGAAAATTTGTTAATGTTATTATGTCTCATAGTTATTAAGAATGAAAATGGAAAGTTAAAATATGTTAGAAGGATATGAGAATGGAGATATTTTATTAAGAAGGATTTATGTATGAAGATTAAAAAATGAGAAAGCCTGCACTTTCCTGGGCACCTGGGCTGACCTCTCCACCAGGGGCCACCTCTGCTTCCTGATCCCTTGCATCCAGAAGGACCCAGATCCTTCTCAGGTCACTGAGAGCCCTCTGGGCCTGTCCCCGCCCTCACCTCCCTCCGCTTCCCTGTACCTGCACGACCCACCAGCCTCTCTCTGGGGTAAGTCAATCATGCCCTCCACACCTTGACTCTCCGAGCATAATTCACCCTCCCATCCCCCCTGCCCATCTCTCCTCCTAGCCTGGGTACTGTCCCATTCCATGTCTTGGCACCCCAGACACCAGGCGAACCACCACTGCTTCCTGATCCTTTGCATCCAGACCAACCCAGTTCCTTCTCGAGGTCGCCAGGAGCCCTCTGGGCCTGGCCCTGCCCTCACCTCCCTCTGCTTCCCTGGGCTGCACAACCCACCAGCCTCTTTTCTGGATGCCAGGGCTGATCATTCGGCTTCCTGATCCTTTGCATCCAGACCAACCCAGTTCCTCAGTGTAGTCCCCAGGAGCCCTTGAGGCCTCTTCCCGCCCCCATCTCCCTTTGCATCTCAGGGTGGCACGGGCACTAGCTGCCTGAGACCAGCACATTTCCTGGGCCCTGCTCCCAGGCCAGTCCAACCCCCGAATTCCTGAGGCCAAAATCTTTCCTGGAGGGATCCAGACCTTAGGAGAAAGCCTGAGAGCATCTGATCCTCATCTGACTTGGGCCTCTGTGGGAACTCCTGAAGACAAAAGCAATCTGGCCACTCCAATATAATATCAAAAGAGAGAACCAGAAGCTTAGAGGAACCAGCTTTTCATGCCCAAAAAGTAAACCACAAAGGCACATAAAGTTTACAAAAAGAAGCAGACCTAAACTTGAAGGCTTGAGTCTCACACAAGAATCAGAAACTGCAAAAGAAATTCACATGTCAAAATAACATAAAAAATAATAACATGAAAAACCAAAATAACATATCCCCACCAAATACCAATAGTCCTCTAGAGGAGTACATGAGAACCCCCTAGAGATAATGCAGGGCATGGAACTCAAAAGAACAATTATAAACATGATAAAAGAATTCAGTGAATTTAAAGAACACACAAACAAGGAAATCAAAGAACTGAAGGAAGATAGGGATAAACTTTTGAATGAATTCAGAAAAGAGCTACAAATATTGAAGAATACTCAGGCTGAAATGAAGAAGGAAGCGAC